CCCCCGACCTCAACTCAATTGAGATTGTTTGGGATGAGTCGGACGGCAGAGTGAAGGAAAAGCAGCCAACAAGTGCTCAGCATATGTGGGAAGTCCTTCAAGACTGTTGGAAAAGCATTCCAGGTTAAGCTGGTTGAGAGAACGCCAAGAGTGTGCAAAGCTGTCATCAAGGCAAAGGGTGGCTACTTTGAAGAATCTCAAATATAAAATATATTTTGATTTGTTTAACCCTTTTTTGGTTACCACATGATTCCATATGTGTTATTTCATAGTTTTGATGTCTTCACGATTATTCTACAATGTAGAAAATATAAAAAAATAAAGAATGTATATTATTTATTTCTTTTTCTTTTTTTGTTAAACAGGTGTGGCTCTGCTCCACCTGCCCTAAATGATGGGTCACCACTTACACACACACACACACACACACACACACACACACACACACACAGGTAAATGATCACAGAGTAATATGAGGGGCCTCTCTCGACGGCGGTAATTACTTTCCGTTTAGGGTGATGGGCGTGGGGAGGGGAGAGGGACAAACCAGGAAGAACCCCCCACTAGACAATTCCCAAGGCCCAACCACCAGGTTCCCCATCTCATCTGCATTAACGGAGAACAATCTGTTTTTCACCGTCTGTCTGTCTGCAAAATGGGGCTGTGGTTCTCTTTCTACCACCTGGGGTGCAATTAGAGATGAGAAGGGGTGTGAGGTGGATTTACCACAGCACCCAGTCTGCTAGAATATTAGATGGCAGAAAGAACACAAAAATCCATGTGAGCCTCGAGTGCAGCAGTTGGTTCCTAACAACGGTCTTCTTCCTCCCGGGCGCTCGGGCTATAAATAGACTGTTATTCCCCCCCCCCCCCTCTCTCTCTCCCGCTCAATCTTCAGCATCTGATTTGTTCCAGCCATTGGATGCAGAGTGGAGGGATCTGTGAGGGGTGTGTTTCTAAGTGGCTTGTGGAAAGGTCAAGGGTTAACATCCACACACACACACACACACACACACACAACCCTCCATCTATGAGATCTTTACTGGACGGCTCCTTCTGACAGCAAAGCATGGCCAACACTGTTCCTAGAACAGCTCTTATGTAAAAGTAGTTTGAGCTCACGTTTGTACCTTTTCTTTCTGGAGTGAATGTGTTCTGGAGTCAGTTATGTCTTAGAGGAGGGGATGAGTGTGATCAAGCTAGGGAGAATGAGCTCCGCTCTAGTTCTTCAGTGGAGCAAAGCCCAGCTGGAGTCTATTAGCTAGCCAGTGGCATCATCCCATTGTTTTACATTACTACACACACACACACACACACACACACACACACACACACACACACACACACACACACGTTTGCCCGCACACACACACACACACACACACACACACAAAACATTGAGACCTGGTACTAATCACCCACAGAAAGGAGCCAAAAAGGTTTAGCTCCTGTCACTATCACCCATGGTAAGAACAGACCGCTCCGTTCAGCTCCACCACGGTAAGAACAGACCGCTCCGTTCAGCTCCACCACGGTAAGAACAGACCGCTCCGTTCAGCTCCGCCACGGTAAGAACAGACCGCTCCGTTCAGCTCCACCATGGTAAGAACAGACCGCTCCGTTCAGCTCCACCATGGTAAGAACAGACCGCTCCGTTCAGCTCCGCCACGGTAAGAACAGACCGCTCCGTTCAGCTCCACCATGGTAAGAACAGACCGCTCCGTTCAGCCCCACCATGGTAAGAACAGACCGCTCCGTTCAGCTCTGCCATGGTAAGAACAGACCGCTCCGTTCAGCTCCACCACGGTAAGAACAGACCGCTCCGTTCAGCTCCACCACGGTAAGAACAGACCGCTCCGTTCAGCTCCACCATGGTAAGAACAGACCGCTCCGTTCAGCGCCGCCATGGTAAGAACAGACCACTCCGTTCAGCGCCGCCATGGTAACAACAGACCGCTCCGTTCAGCTCCACCATGGTAACAACAGACCGCTCCGTTCAGCTCCGCCACGGTAAGAACAGACCGCTCCGTTCAGCTCCGCCACGGTAAGAACAGACCGCTCCGTTCAGCTCCACCATGGTAAGAACAGACCGCTCCGTTCAGCTCCACCACGGTAACAACAGACCGCTCCGTTCAGCTCCGCCATGGTAACAACAGACCGCTCCGTTCAGCTCCACCACGGTAAGAACAGACCGCTCCGTTCAGCTCAACCACGGTAAGAACAGACCGCTCCGTTCAGCTCCACCATGGTAAGAACAGACCGCTCCGTTCAGCGCCGCCATGGTAAGAACAGACCACTCCGTTCAGCGCCGCCATGGTAACAACAGACCGCTCCATTCAGCTCCACCATGGTAACAACAGACCGCTCCGTTCAGCTCCACCACGGTAAGAACAGACCGCTCCGTTCAGCTCCACCATGGTAAAAGGTAACCATGGATGCCATACCAAACCCCCCTCAACAACTGAACCTTCCAGACTAAATGTCTTCCCTTTCCCCAACAGCAATAATGAACCTTTATTGTCCCCATACTGGGAGAGACCTGTACAGTCGTCCTCTCTACTCTACACAGTAGCAATTAAGACATTCCAGAGCTCTTGCTGCTGCCACAAACACACACAAACACACACACACACACTCCTGCTGCATTCTTCCTGGTATTAGCTCAGAGTTGTGGCTGTTCCCAGCCTGGCAGCCATCCCTGCTATGTGAGGCGATGTATAGAGAGCACATTGAAGAGGAGTGGGCTTGGAGTAGAGATGCTGCTGTGTGTGTGTGTGTGAGGCAGACTAGCTAGCTGTATTGAAGAGGAGTGGGCTTGGAGTAGAGATGCTGCTGTGTGTGTGTGAGGCAGACTAGCTAGCTGTATTGAAGAGGAGTGGGCTTGGAGTAGAGATGCTGCAGTGTGTGTGTGAGGCAGACTAGCTAGCTGTATTGAAGAGGAGTGGGCTTGGAGTAGAGATGCTGCTGTGTGTGTGTGAGGCAGACTAGCTAGCTGTATTGAAGAGGAGTGGGCTTGGAGTAGAGATGCTGCTGTGTGTGTGTGAGGCAGACTAGCTAGCTGTATTGAAGAGGAGTGGGCTTGGAGTAGAGATGCTGCTGTGTGTGTGTGAGGCAGACTAGCTAGCTGTATTGAAGAGGAGTGGGCTTGGAGTAGAGATGCTGCTGTGTGTGTGTGAGGCAGACTAGCTAGCTGTATTGAAGAGGAGTGGGCTTGGAGTAGAGATGTTGCTGTGTGTGTGTGTGTGAGGCAGACTAGCTAGCTGTATTGAAGAGGAGTGGGCTTGGAGTAGAGATGCTGCTGTGTGTGTGTGTGAGGCAGACTAGCTAGCTGTATTGAAGAGGAGTGGGCTTGGAGTAGAGATGCTGCTGTGTGTGTGTGTGTGAGGCAGACTAGCTAGCTGTATTGAAGAGGAGTGGGCTTGGAGTAGAGATGCTGCTGTGTGTGTGTGTGAGGCAGACTAGCTAGCTGTATTGAAGAGGAGTGGGCTTGGAGTAGAGATGCTGCTGTGTGTGTGTGAGGCAGACTAGCTAGCTGTATTGAAGAGGAGTGGGCTTGGAGTAGAGATGCTGCTGTGTGTGTGTGAGGCAGACTAGCTAGCTGTATTGAAGAGGAGTGGGCTTGGAGTAGAGATGCTGTGTGTGTGTGTGTGAGGCAGACTAGCTAGCTGTATTGAAGAGGAGTGGGCTTGGAGTAGAGATGCTGCTGTGTGTGTGTGTGAGGCAGACTAGCTAGCTGTATTGTTGAGTGGCTGTGTTGAGCAGTATGGAGTTCTGCCTGGAGCTGCTGTGGTTACGTGACTGGCAGGTTGTTAAGTGGGAGATAAAAGAGCTTGTTTTGAGGTTGTGTGTAGTGAGGGGTCGGGTTGTGTGTAGTGAGGGGTCGGGTTATGTGTGGCGAGGGGTCGGGTTGTGTGTGGCGAGGGGTCGGGTTGTGTGTGGCGAGGGGTCGGGTTGTGTGTGGCGAGGGGTCGGGTTGTGTGTGGCGAGGGGTCGGGTTGTGTGTGGCGAGGGGTCGGGTTGTGTGTGGCGAGGGGTCGGGTTGTGTGTGGCGAGGGGTCGGGTTTGTTTTGTCTACTGAGTGAAGAGGTGGTTTGCTGTGTTGTGTTGAGGGATTGGGTGTGTACTGACTAGTGAGAAGATTGTGATGGGTGAATTTGTTTCTTGAGTGGAAGGTAGGTGTGTGTGTGTGTGTGTGTGTGTGTGTGTGTGTGTGTGTGGTCACAGCCTTTTGGTGTCTGCTTCTTGTCTTGTAGTTCTGCACGCTGACTCGACTCCAGCCTCCGTAGTCATGGTGTGCCATGAAACTATTCATGTTAATGAAAACAAAACCCATTAAGTTGTGTAACGCCAGCGTGTGCATTCCAATAAAAGGTCCTCCTGAGTTGAGGTACTTTCAGAAGCCTCTTAAGCCTGTTCACATATCTGCCACATTCTCAGGGCTCTGTTGCGGCAGATGTGGTGGGGGCAGCCATCTTGTTTGACCAGGGAGTTTAGAGACCTGCCATTTCAGGAATCCTACTCAATGTACTTTGAACAATCCACACTGAAGAAGGCTATATGGGTCTACAAGACCCGAATCCACCAAAACAAAATTTGACTTCTGTATTTTCAATAAAAATTGTCTCTCCCTCCCCTCCCTCCCACTCATGACTTTCAAGGAAACATTCAAAAGGAAAAAGTCTCAGAAAGATGTCTTATTATGCATGGAATGCTCATCAAATTTGAAATAGGCCTACATTATTTCCCAAGAATATGGTGATTAAAATCATGTATAATGTATGCGTGCCACATTGATATCCATAATGAATACAGAGGCATGGCTCCCTGGCAGAGGATGATGATGATGATGGTGATGAAGAGATTAGAGTTCGACAAACATGAATGTGGCCTATTTAATGAGCAGAGCCACTCGGGTCCTCAGTTGCTACATTAACCAGTCTTTACAGAGGGGAGCTGGGGTAAATGGAGGCCACGAACCAGTACTGATAAGAGTTAGGACATTACAGGCCTTCAACAGGAGAACAGGCTGCTGCACTGACTGGAGAGCGGAGGGAGAGGAGAGAGAGAGGGGGAGGGAGGGAGAGAGAGAGGGGGGGAGGGAGAGAGGGCATGGGTAGAGTGAGGGAGAGGACAGAGGGAGGGAGGGAGGTTATGGGTAGAGTGAGGGAGGGAAGAGAGAGAGTGAATTTAATTGATTGAGGGAGAGGGAGGGAGGGAGTGGGTAGAGTGAGGGAGAGGGAGGGGGAGAGAGAGAGAGAGAGTGGGGGATGGGTGAGCGAGAGAGTGGGGGATGGGAGAGGAGAGAGGCACAGCCAGAGAGGGGGAGGGCAAGTCAGCTAGAGATAAACAGAGTGAGAGAGTGAGAGAGAAGGGGAGGGAAACAGAGCCAATGATAATCAGGGAACACAAGAGTGAGACGGAGAGAGAGAGCGCGCTAATGATAGACAGAGGGAGAGAGATAGAGTCGGGGAGGGGTGGGCAAGATAACTAGCAATAAACAGAGAGGGGTGGGGTTAAGGGAGAGCTAATGACAGACCGAGAGAGGGAGAGAGAGGAATAGAGCTAGAGATTAACAGAAAGAGAGAGGGGAATAGAGCTAGAGATGAAAAGAGAGAGGGGGAGAGAGGAATAGAGCTAGAGATGAAAAGAGAGAGAGGGGGGAGAGAGAGGAATAGAGCTAGAGATGAAGAGAGAGAGGGGGGGGAAGAGAGAGAGGGGAATAGAGAGGAATAGCGCTAGAGATGAAAAGAGAGAGGGGGGGGGGGGGGAGAGAGAGGGGAAGAGAGAGGAATAGCGCTAGAGAAAGAGAGAGAGAGAAAGACAGAGAAAGCGAGAGAGAGGCTCCCCTCAGTCCCTCAATCTGCCTGGGAAGGCAAATTAATTAATCAAGCTGCTTCATTACTGTCCTGCCATTATTATTAGGGTAAAGAGGGTCATCTCCTCAAAACTAGGGCTGTGGATCATTCATTACCACACCATTCAGGGGAAGGAATCAGCTCTTCAATGACTGAAAGAAGCTACATTCACTACCTTAGGCTCTTCTTTCTGTGCCTGAGGGACACTTATGTGATTGACATGCATTATTTATTTGGATGGCTATATGTTTTTATGAGGTTTTGTGAGAGTTTGTGTGGAGGGAGTGTGTGTGTGTATATACAGTGAAGAAAATAAGTATTTAGTCAGCCACCAATTGTGCAAGTTCTCCCACTTAAAAAGATGAGAGAGGCCTGTAATTTTCATCATAGGTACACGTCAACTATGACAGACAAAATGTGAAAAAAAAATACAGAAAATCACATTGTAGGATTTTTAATGAATTTATTTGCAAATTATGGTGGAAAATAAGTAGTTGGTCAATAAAAAAAGTTTCTCAATACTTTGTTATATACCCTTTGTTGGCAATGACACAGGTCAAATGTTTTCTGTAAGTCTTCACAAGGTTTTCACACACTGTTGCTGGTATTTTGGCCCATTCCTCCATGCAAATCTCCTCTAGAGCAGTGATGTTTTGGGGCTGTCGCTGGGCAACACAGACTTTCAACTCCCTCCAAAGATTTTCTATGGGGTTGAGATCTGGAGACTGGCTAGGCCACTCCAGGACCTTGAAATGCTTCTTACGAAGCCACTCCTTTGTTGCCCGGGCGGTGTGTTTGGGAACATTGTCATGCTGAAAGACCCAGCCACGTTTCATCTTCAATACCCTTGCTGATGGAAGGAGGTTTTCACTCAAAATCTCACAATACATGGCCCCATTCATTCTTTCCTTTACACGGATCAGTTGTCCTGGTCCCTTTGCAGAAAAACAGCCCCAAAGCATGATGTTTCCACCCCCATGCTTCACAGTAGGTATGGTGTTCTTTGGATGCAACTCAGCATTCTTTGTCCTCCAAACACGACGAGTTGAGTTTTTACCAAAAAGTTATATTTTGGTTTCATCTGACCATATGACATTCTCCCAATCCTCTTCTGGATCATCCAAATGCACTCTAGCAAACTTCAGACGGGCCTGGACATGTACTGGCTTAAGCAGGGGGACACGTCTGGCACTGCAGGATTTGAGTCCCTGGCGGCGTAGTGTGTTACTGATGGTAGGCTTTGTTACTTTGGTCCCAGCTCTCTGCAGGTCATTCACTAGGTCCCCCCGTGTGTTTCTGGGATTTTTGCTCACCGTTCTTGTGATCATTTTGACCCCACAGGGTGAGATTTTGCGTGGAGCCCCAGATCGAGGGAGATTATCAGTGGTCTTTTATGTCTTCCATTTCCTAATAATTGCTCCCACAGTTGATTTCTTAAAACCAAGCTGCTTCCCTATTGCAGATTCAGTCTTCCCAGCCTGGTGCAGGTCTATAATTTTGTTTCTGGTGTCCTTTGACAGCTCTTTGGTCTTGGCCATAGTGGAGTTTGGAGTGTGACTGTTTGAGGTTGTGGACAGGTGTCTTTTATACTGATAACAAGTTCAAACAGGAGCCATTAATACAGGTAACGAGTGGAGGACAGAGGAGCCTCTTAAAGAAGAAGTTACAGGTCTGTGAGAGCCAGAAATCTTGCTTGTTTGTAGGTGACCAAATACTTATTTTCCACCATAATTTGCAAATAAATTCATTAAAAATCCTACAATGTGATTTTCTGGATTTTTTCTCTCTCAATTTGTCTGTCATAGTTGACGTGTACCTATGATGAAAACTACAGGCCTCTCTCATCTTTTTAAGTGGGAGAACTTGCACAATTGGTGGCTGACTAAATACTTTTTTCCCCCCACTGTATGTGCCTATTCAAATGATGGGGGGAGGGGTTTTGCAGGCACAGGTGTATGGCTGCAGGATTTCACCACACCATACAGCATGTCAATAGGAGAGAGATGGAGAGAGGAGCGAGAGGGCAGGATGACAGTGCTGTGGGCAGGGTGTTTGTACATTGCAACCAGAGGTTAATTAATCACAGTCCGGCATCTTACTCAAACAAAATGCTAATGTAGGAAAATGTGGACATTTCCATATATTTGCAGTGAAGTTGGTGCAGGTTGTATGGAGAGGTGTTTTATCATACAAGGTGCAGTGGGGGTGTGATGCATCAGTTGCATACATAATAAAACTGGACATCTTATTAAAATAAAGAGCAGTGTCGAGATGCATTTGCGCAAGTTGTGAATTATAAAGAGGTTACTTAGAAAGACAGGATGTATAGCACATTAGGCCAAGAAATATGGCTGTATGGTCCTGTATGGTCCTGTATGGTCCTGTATGGCTCAGTTGGTAGTGCATTATGCATGATGCATGATTATATTAAAGTGGAACTGACAGTATTTTCATATACGCCCCCAGGAAGAATATGACACCTTCTTTTACATTTTCTGATAGGCACATAGATATGATCATTTTCAGATGTTCACACTTTTATATAATGTTTGGGAATGACGTAGAGTTTGGCATTTGTGAAAATTCTATAGCAATATAGTGGGAAAGCGGCCATGCGTTTGCACAATTAATAGACACTGCAGTAAATAAAACCTATTCTCCAGGCCCAGACTAAACAGACTGGAGCGCCATAGCCAATCAGAGCTACATTAGGCATATATGCAAATAAGCCATTTGCCACACGGGCCTGCTGCCATCATTCACTTTGAACTGGACTGTGTGTTTACAGGCAGTAGCAACCGTGTGACTTTAGATCATTAGAAAGCATTCGCCAAAAGTCGGGAGTCCTCTTACATTTGGGAACTTTACAGTCCAATTGATCAAACAACCATGAACAGGCTCGCTCTCCCTCAAGTTGCCTATAAGATCAACAACTATTGCTAGCCAGAGCGAGATGAGCTAAAATCTAACGAGGAAACAGTAGATAAACCCTCTCAAACTTTTTCAGCTTGTAGTTGTCTGTCAAAATTGCACTGATAAACGATGAGGAATAGTAGCCTGTTCGTCCTTCTACAGCTTGCCTGCCAATGCATGCTGGTCCCAACCCATGTTTTGACAACTGAATGGGAACTTGCCTGCCTACCCACCCATTTGATCGATGCCAAATACATTTAATTGACAACTAAGATATATGCTAACTGTGGATAACAGACTTATAAAGTTCAGCATAGATAGCTAGATAGCAAAGTGAGTCACATTTCTTGCTAGCTAACCAAATGACACCTGAATCTCTAGCAGTAGAACCGAAAAACGATACGGGTGGAAGAAGTCGGCCACTCACCCACTCGTCCGTCCAATCACATGACATCCTTCCAGCAGCTAGCTAGGCTCTGTGTTTTTAGCTTGCTAAATAAATAGCTACATGAATAGATAAGCTAGCCTATTAGCCACGTTATGACTGACTTGTGACGCCTTCGCTAGTTTGATTGTATTGACATTCCCAGCCTTACTTTCGTCCGTTTTTGTCCAAGATATTGAGTCATTGAAACTGAAACAATGCATCCCAAATGGCTGGAGGCAGCAAAGAATGTACCAGGCCAGCTGTGATTTACAACCTGATAGCAATATGTGTTGGACTACCAATAAATGTATTGGTGAATTATATGAATCATGCATTGAACTGCATCCATCTATTCTGCCAACAATGCCTTACTGTACGTCATGGAATTTTGAGTAAAATAGAACGTATTTTTTAAACCTCTTATTAAGTTGGTTTTGTAGCATAAACTGTGATATTTTTGACTGATATTATGATAGTCTGTTTCATATCTGCAACGTAGTTAAAACGCTGTCAGTTCCACTTTAAGTCCCATAACACAGGGCCTCCCAAACACATCCTGGCTGATGGGCTTCATAAGCCTTTATAAGCCTCTGCAACTTTACGCACAATCTACCTCCCATCCACATTAAGCTACACAACCAATCCACCTCAAGCTACACAACCAATTCACCTCAAGCTACACAACCAATTCACCTCCCATCCACATTCAAGCTACACAACCAATCCACCTCCCATCCACATCAAGCTACACAACCAATCCACATCAAGCTACACAACCAATTCACCTCCCATCCACATTCAAGCTACACAACCAATCCACCTCCCATCCACATCAAGCTACACAACCAATTCACCTCCCATCCACATTCAAGCTATACAACCAATCCACCTCCCATCCACATTAAGCTACACAACCAATCCACATCAAGCTACACAAACAATTCACCTCCCATCCACATTCAAGCTACACAACCAATCCACCTCCCATCCACATCAAGCTACACAACCAATCCACCTCCCATTCACATCAAGCTTGTTCTTACTGTGGAATGCAGAGTTTGGTTTTCGCCAGGCATTACTGGAACCATCTCGTCCAAAAAGTTATACTTTTGAATCATCTGTCCATAGAACGTTCTTCCAAGAGTCTTGATGATCATCCAGGTGCTTTTAGGCAAACTTGAGTCAACTTTTTGGACGAGATGGGTCCCATTATGCCTGGCGAAAACCAAACACTGCATTCCACAGTAAGAACATCATACCAAAGGTCAAGCATGGTGGTGGTGGTGTGATGGTTTGGGAATGCTTTGCTGCCTCAGGACCTGGACGACTCGCCTTAATAGAAGGAACCATGAATTCTGCTCTGTATCAGAGAATTCTACAGGAGAATGTCAGACCATCCGTCTGTCAGCTGCAGCTGAAGCGCAGCTGGGTCATGCAGCAAGACAATGATCCAAAACACACAATCAAGTCTACATGAAAATTGCTAAAAAGCAACAAATTGGAAGATTTGGAATGGCCTAGTCAAAGTCCAGACCTAATCCCTATTGAGATGTTGTGGCAGGACTTGAAACGAGCAGTTCATGCTTGAAAACCCACACGTCACTGAGTTAAAGCAGTTCTGCATGGAAGAGTGGGCCAAAATTCCTCCACAGCGACGTGAGAGACTACAGGAAGCATTTGGTTGGAGTCATTGCAGCTAAAGGTGGCATAACCAGTTATTGAGTGTAAGGGGGCAATTACTTTTTCACACAGGGGAATTGGGTGTTGCATAACTTTGTTTATGAAATAAATGAAATAAATATTTAATTGTTGTGTTATTTGTTCACTTATGTTCCCTTTATCTAATATTAGGTTTTGGTTGAAGATCTGATAACATTCAGTATCACAAATATGCAAAAGTAGAGAAAATTAGAAAGGGGGCAAATACTTTTTCATAGCACTGTGTATATATATATATATATATTTATTTATTAATTACACACTTATTTACTTTACTATGCCAATATTTCATTGTTGTAAATGTTTTGGCGCCAAACTGGTGGCAGAGTTAATGAAACATAATGCCATTGTTGATTAGATACGTTTTCCATGAATTAGGCTATTTTCGCTTTAACCATATGGTCCATCTACTAGAAACTCATGGACAATATTTTTTTTTTTAATACTATATATGAATACATAAAAAAGTTATTCAAGTGTTCATTACCAAAGTTACCATAGATTGACATATATTTATCTGTTTAATTACCAAAATTACTGAAGATTCCGGTAACTTTGGTAAATTACCGGTAGTTTTGCAACCCTACCTCCTATACCAATCCACAGACACCAACCACCCACAGACACCAGCCATCCTTACCTAGACTGGTGGGCTTAATGAGCTCGTCCAGCATATCGTAGAAGGGCAGCCTCTGCAGCTTGACGTCTGGGTGCACCGGGTGCAGGGTGGCCGAGGTGGGCAGGTGGTGCGTCAGCCCGCTGAGCTCGTGCTTGCCGGGCCCCAGCAACGAGATGGGCAGCAGGGCGGCTGGCGAGGGTACTCCCCCGTGCCCATGGCCCTCGTACGCCAGCTGGCTGAGGCCGGCAGGCAGGGCGGCGGTGCCCCCTCCTCCGGCCACACCTCCCGAGGCAGGGTAGTGTGGTCCGGGCAGGGCCAGCTCTGAGGGAGAGACCATCTTTGTGGGGAAGCGTCTGCAGTAGAGTTCCTTGATCTTCATCTGCACGGCGGTGCTGCAGCCGGCTTTCAGGAGATGCAGGGCCATGGTCAAGAGCTCATGTTTTCGCCCGTGTTTGTTGCGGCCCGCGTAACCTAGCAGAACCTGCAGCTCTGACACGCGCAGGCTCATCACCATTTGCTGTGGAGGAGAGAGGGAGAGGGAGAGGGAGAGGGAGAGGGAGAGAGAGAGTCGAGTTAGGCTAACTGAAATGAGTCACGTGACAAAACTCCTCAAGTACACATTGCTTAAAGCAACAAACGTGCATGGAGGCTTACCTGGTCGGTGTAGCGTGAAACATTGGCAACAGTGTAGGAATAGTATAATGATCAGTTGCCTCTCACAGAAGAGCTTTAACTGTCATTCCCAGTTTGTGACGTTATACCCACAAGGAGAATCCGTTAAGGGAAAGCAACGCGGCATTATTCCATCACGCAAGATTGACATTACGCCTAAAATCCAGTTCAGTTTAATGTACTGTAGAAGCATTCACAACATCGATTGAACTAACCAGGCATCTTATTCTATGCATTCTTGCAGTTGTTTCACCTTACCCCAACAATAGTCCTACTGCTTTTGACTGAATAGCCAATAGCTTAAATTTCATTCATGATTTGGATTTTCATGGCACAGACTAGGCTAAACCAATCAAAGGAATGTGTAAACTATGTGATGTAGGCTAATACTCATCAACAGCTCTCTCATAAGGCTTGATGCAGGCCTAGTTTCGACTACAGATAATTACATGTGCCGAGGACGCAATATGAATTTCAATGAAGTGTTATCAAGGCACATCAGACCAGGCTCCTACCAGCACGGCCTGTGGACTGGAACCAGTCATGAGTGAGCTGATACTAATTCCATGCTAATAAGATGTAAATTGTTCATTCTCGGTAATAATCAAATGCCCATGCATATTAATACTGTATGTTCTCCATGCTATGGGTGGATATTAGAGGGGACTAACATCTCATTTGCTCTAGGGCTGGGAATTGCCAGGGACCTCACGATACGATATTATAACGATACTTAGGTGCCGATAGGCCAGTGTTAATTTTCGCCATTAAAAATAGTGACTAAAATATAAATAGACCCAGAAAAACCTATAAAATGAGACAAGAAAATGATCTCTGTGACTAAAATCTGACTACTAAGTGGACTGGACAAGGGTTTTTGGAACGATTGAGCACTTTTCAGTGATAAGCACAATTAATATTAGCAGCACAGATGCGCAGCAGTTCTGTTCAGCAGGACACGTCACACCCGGCACACACAGCCTGCATCAGCTGGTGAGCTGCGGGGGAGCAAGCGATGAGTGTGGGCAGACAGGCAGACAGGCTCCGCTCCGGCTCCGATTATACTGTCCACATCGCACAGGCGACTCTCTTCCTTTACCGCCAGCCTTCTAGTTAGCTACCCTTCCGCTGGTTAAGAAACACAAGCTGCTTTACAAAATTAAAAACAATAGCAGCATTGAGTTTAATAGTAAAACAACAATCTAGCTATGTTTTTCTCTTCCTTGAGTAGGCTATAGAAAAGTAGGCCCTCTTTGAATTTGTAGTCTAGCTCAACCCTCCCACTTTTCCCACTGCATTTCATTTACAGGTTATATAGCTAATGAAGCCAAGTCTCCCTCTTTTCCTCAGCGAAAAAACTGATTGATTCTAGACCTTAGGCTACCGTTCAAAAGACATGACCCATAATACCTGCGCTACATTTTTTTTCTTTCTATCTTGCATTGGCGGGCCACATTTTATATTCATAAAGCACATCGCGGGCCGTTCTAAAACAAGGCTACTTGCGGACCGGACCGTTAACCATTTGTTTAGGCTACACCTTGTTCAGTCATGTTACCTCATTTAGCTAGCTATAGCTAACAACCTGGGGTGCGTTCAGCAGGACGCAATGTTTTGGAACGTTAAGATAGAAATATGCTATGTAGAACAAACATGCCTCTCTGACATGTTGAATAAGGAATAACGTTGGCTCTATTCATGGAATTTCTATCTGCAACGTTCTAGAATTTTTTTTCAACTGAACATGACCCCTGGTAACATTACCAGTAGCCTATATGCAAACATTTGGTGGCACAGAACATTTTGGTATCATACATTTTGCAAATTCGTAAGATATTGTACGAATTGCAATTCGTAACATATCATACGAATTGTAATTCGTAACATATCATACGAAATGGATGGACATCCACAAATTAATACATACCATACGAAACGTAACATATCATACTAATTGGAGTGTCCCAGATTTACATTTACTGTGTTACGTCTACCTCTGAGTCCAGGTTGGACAAGCTATGTATGTTTCCACACATGGAAGTCAGTGATTTATGTTTACTATAGGTTAATGAGGCAATACAAATGTAACTAAAATGAAAGGGCATTTAGTTGACTAAAATGGCCCACTGTTTTCGTCATTTTGACAATAACTAGACTAAATCATTATTCAAATGACAAATGTGACTTAATTATATTTTAGTCAAAATGACTAAGACTAAATCTAAAAAAAGAGTGCCAAAATTAACACTGCGATTCTCATGATTCTGTATGTATTGCGATTCGATACTGTGATTTTATTGCGATTCGATGTTCAAACATATTTCTCACCATATGTCTGCTTCCATGATCAGTCATGGAAATAAAAGTGTTGAAAACAAATTGGCTCCCTATTTAAAAAGAAGATGGAGAACAAGCTATGAAGTAAAAATACTGTAGTTTCGATGCAGGTACAGCGATTTTTACCCCCATCACTAATTCTCTCTCCTTCAAGGCTTTGCCTCGATGACCATAGACATGGCCTAGATTCTAAATCTTTATCTAGCCTATAGATTATAGATGTAGACTGATGTAGCCTAGATCTGTCCACTGACGATCTCACTATAATGTGACTAGGCTTGGGCGGTATAACGTATATACCTTATACCAGGGTATTTTCAATACCGTCAATACTGTTGAAACTATTTCTTTAAAGTTTTTTTTTTTAAATAAACGTGAATATTTGTGGCTAATTTTTAAGTAACTCAAATCACATTTTATTTGTCACACGCGTCGAATACCTGCAGTCAACTTGTGCAATACGTTAGGAGATTAAGAACATTGCGTTCTTCATTTCACCTACCACATTATTACGTAGATTATGGTAGTCCCCAGTCAAGTGTCACATGGTGTTTGTTTACAAGCACACAACAACGAGACCTGAGGCTTGTGAGTCTCTCACTGTTGTGCAGCATGTGCCAGGTGATCTAATTACAGTATGGAATTCACAATTAAATGTTTACCAGCTAGATATCTTATAACTATTAAGTTAAATGTCTAAAATGTGCTAAATGCTCTGCAGTTGTGCATTTCGTTTGCTAATTTAGTAGCTAGTTAGCTATCTAGCTAAGTGGTTAGCGTCTTCCAAAATCAAGCATTCGCTTGGTAACAGCAGAGTATCCCTTCCTGGATCAAGAGCCTTTCTGGCTAATATTCGTTTTGTGCATGCAGCAAACTGAATAGCATTTTTGAGTTACTTGTATAGTTTAGGTCAGAAACTGTACAACATGTTTGCTATGCGCTCATTTGCATTTAGTTAGCATCCTCTATGACCCCCCCCCCAATACGACCTCCCTATAATACCGACCCCATCAGAACCCTTCTCCCTTCCGGTGACCCCCTAAAATGTGACCCCCTATAATGTGACCCCCCCCATACGACCTCCCCCTATATACGACCCCCTCGTATGTGACCCCCTAAAATGGTGACCCCCCCCCCAATACGACCTCCCTATAATACGACCCCCCTATAATGTGACCCCCCTATAATGTGACCCCCCTTATGTGACCCCCCTTTAATGTGACCCCCCTTATGTGACACCCCCTTATGTGCCCCCCCCTGTAATGTGACCCCCCCCTGTAATGTGACCCCCCCTATAATGTGACCCCCACTATAATGTGACCCCCCCTATAATGTGACCCCCCCCATGATGTGACACCCACTATAATGTGACCCCCCTATAATGTGACCCCACTATAATGTGACCCCCCCATAAAGTGACCCCCCCTATAAGGTGGACCCACCCTATAAGGTGACCCCCCACTATAATGTGACCCCCACTATAATGTGACCCCCCCCCCTATAATGTGGACCCCCCTATAATGTGACCCCCCCTCCTATAATGTGACCCCCCCTATAATGTGACCCACCCCCTATAATGTGACCCCCACTATAATGTGACCCCCCCTATAATGTGACCCCCCCTATAATGTGACCCCCACTATAATGTGTGGTTATGAAAGAGTAAGGTAGCAGGAGAACACTGGGTGTATCAGGGCTGTTTCAGACCACACCGGGTGAGTGTGAACTGGGTGTATCAGGGCTGTTTCAGACCACAAGCAGGGTGTGTGTGGAGTGTGAGTGTGAGTGTGAGTGTGAGTGTGAGTGTGAGTGTGAGTGTGAGTGTGAGTGTGTGTGTGTGTGTGGTGTGTGTGTGTGTGTGTGTGTGTGTGTGTGTGTGTGTGTGTGTGTGAGTGTGAGTGTGAGTGTGAGTGTGTGCGTGTGCGTGTGTGTGTGTGTGTGAGAGTGTGTGTGTAGAATGAGAGGTGACAGGTCCACGGAGCAGCAGCTGTGTGCGGTCTGATGGAAACCAACCCTCAGAAGACCTCATGTAATAGGCTACATAATAATACAATATATGGGTAAAATACCAGAAATGATGGAGCACATAAGTCAATGTGACACGCACACACGGACATGCACACACCCCTTTTATAACCAACGCCCTGGGCGTGGAATATTGGAGACTAGGACAGCCACCTTCATATCATTTATCTTAATGACAGGGGAGAGATAAAACCAGTGATTAAAACACAGAGCACTAAAACCTCCCCTGAGCTGCTGCCCCCCCACACACACACACACTCCTAGTAGTCAACCACATACACTAGGCTGAAAGAGAGAGAGAGAGAGAGAGAGAGAGAGGAGGAGAGCGGAGAGAGATGAGAGAGAGAGAGAGAGAGAGAGGAGAAGACGAGAGAGAGAGAGGGAGAGAGAGAGAGAGAGGAGAGACGAGAGAGATAGAGCTTTTTTCCCATTGCCATCAAAGCCCTTTGAATTGAATTGAGAGCAAGAGAGATAAAGAGAGAGAGACAGGGAGAGAGCGAATTTGTGTCTGTCTGTCTGAAATCTCTACTTCCGCCCCCTAGCCCCGGACGGTGTAATGACAGAGTAACACTAGCCCTATCTAACTGTAGCTTAGCATAGCCCAGCTACCAACTGACACTAGACCCTAGAAAACCCTATCCAGCTGGGGGGAGCTTAGCATAGCCCCGCAACCTACACTAGCCCTACCCCCCTTAGCTTAGCAGCTACCACTGACACTAGCCCTAGAAACCCTATCCAGCTGTAGCTTAGCATAGCCCAGCTACCACTGACACTAGCCCTATAAACCCTATCTAACTGTAGCTTAGCATAGCCCAGCTACCACTAACACTAGCCCTAGAAACCCTATCCAACTGTAGCTTAGCATAGCCCAGCTACCACTGACACTAGCCCTATAAACCCTATCTAACTGTAGCTTAGCATAGCCCAGCTACCACTGACACTAGCCCTATAAACCCTATCTAACTGTAGCTTAGCATAGCCCAGCTACCACTAACACTAGCCCTAGAAACCCTATCCAACTGTAGCTTAGCATAGCCCAGCTACCACTAGCCCTAGAAACCCTATCTAACTGTAGCGTAGCATAGCACACACAACTGTACACATATTTACCCCCTTTACCACACTGCGGATGTGTAACATTCCTCCTCTGGCCTGAAGAAAAGAGTGAGGGAAAACAAATAAG